TACTGCATTGGAAACTGTCATAACTAATGTCTCTTCTGTAGAAGAATCATTCCTTGGATTGTCCCTGTGTTTTATTTTAGTCAGTTTAAAAGTTTAAAATGACATGGAGTGACAAATACTAGTACTAACTAAAATAGCCACCTTCCCACAAAAAGCTTAAAAACGGTCATATATAAAAGAAGCTGTAGCAGTGATCTTAATGTCAGCAGGAAAATTCCCACTGATTTCAAAGGGAGAGGCTGGTCCCTTTCTTACCAGCACAATTATTAACACGGATTAATAAAAATGAATGAATTTTAACAACTAATTTATGTAATTTAGAGAAAATTTTCACATTCAGCAAGTCTCACAGCACAGCTGGGCTGATAGAATACTACATTATCCTCTTTATGTGAACTGTTTTGTTTCACGATCTAACACATCAGCAAAATTTTGCAAATGTACAGATGGCATATACCAAAGAACAAGAGCAAATTTGAGGAAATTTGTCTGAATTTTTTCAAATAAACCATAGGAGCATTTCTACTTGCCTTGTGTTTTTGTAAAGATTTTGGTTTTAAATGTAATTTTCAACAATAACAAAAAAAAAAATCCAGGTAACTGCAGATAATAGTAAAAACAGAATATAGTGATTCTAATAATACAGAGGCAGCCAAACACTGGACTGCAATCCCAGACCCTTGGTACTAATTTATTAGTTTTTATTTTTATAAAAAGGCTAATTAAGTGGAAATAAAAATACTTCTTTGTATTCATAGTAATGAAGCAGTACTATTACCTTTGAGAGAAAACAAGAATTCACATAAATAGCAATTCAGCTCTACATGTACAAGTAACAATAAATGGTAAAATGGAAAAGTGTTTCCAGCAACTGGCAAGAAAATTAACAACTTTTCCCACAGCAGATTATTCTCAGTTTATCATTCTCTTTACCCTGCGCGAGCAGGGGGGGTTGGACTAGATGATCTCTGAGGTCCCTTCCAACCTTAAGCATTCGATGATTCTATGATTCTATTGATGGAGATAAATCAAAGGATTAAAAGGCAAAGCTCAGAGGCCTGCATGGGTTCTTTTCTGTCTCTTGCTGTGTCTATTTTGACCCACTGCCAGGAGCTCTCTGCCATGCCCCAGGGTATATATACTGTCAGGCTAATAAATAGCATTTACATTTTGGGAGACCTATGGCCACCCTATTGGGCCTACAGAACACTTGGTAGTATCTTGGTGTATAAAATCATTATGTGTAAGAGGAATGCCAGTTTAAGTATCAAGACTAAGTTTTAAGTATCAGCTTCTTAATCCAAGCCCTCTTTCAGTTAGCAGGACAGAGATAATCCCACTTTACATTTTCATAAATATCACTCTTTTTCCAGGCAAAGGTTTGCAGCCATGATGAGGAAAAACTTCTTGACTGTGAGGGTGACAGAGCCCTGGAACTGGCTGCCCAGAGAGGCTGGAGGTGGAGCCTCCTCTGGAGATCTTCCAAACTCACCTGGATGCCACCCTGTGCCACATACTCTAGGTGTCCCTGCTAGAGCAAGGGGGTTGGATTAAATGATCTCTAGAGGTCCCTTCCAATTTAACCATTTTATGATTCTGTGTGATTCTGTGATGAAAAAAAAAAAAAAGCACTTAACCACAGGGACCTTGTTTTGTTCAAATTTTCTTCCTGCATGCAATATTTCGCATAAGAAAAGTCTTTTAGTGGTACTGGCACTGCAAAGCAGTACTTGTAATGGTGGAGCTGGTTAAACTTGTGGATAATGCAGAAAGCATGATACTTTGGAGATGGTTATGCAGAAAGAGGAGACATTTGGCAAATTATTTCTATCTAAACTAGTTTCATTAGCTACTAACTGTCCTCCCAGAGGGCAAAGTAAGTATGTAAGGGTTATGTGACGGTGTACATCCATTCCTCTGGACACCAGATTGATGAAGGAGAACATAGCACATGGTAAAGGACCTCAATCAACCGAACCAAGAACCTCTACCTTCTTTTCTGACTGCTCCAGCAAACACAGGTTGGAATAATCTGACCCAGGGTTGCTTCATTGCTCGCTATGTTGGGCAGTGTTTGATTTTTAAGTAACTAAGCATTTTATAGGTTGGTTATAAACCATGGCCCAGCAATGAGGACTTGCTCCAGTCTATGAAATAATAGCCTGCATTTGTGATGAAATAATGTGATGAAATAATTTGTGATGAAAGATGGTATTCTGGGATCTTTTTTGACACAGCAAGAAAAAAAATGGGATGACTCCATGCATTTCACATCATTTAGTCCAACTATCAGAAAGGTGAAAATCTTTGAAACTGATGGAACTTAATTTAAAAACATCATGTACAGAGAAATATCTGAACTTTGTAAACAACTTTGCCCACCAGGTACTCACTCACTAAAGCAGACCAAGGGCCCTAAGGCTGTGGGTACCTACAGGATGAGGCAGCAGCTACATCATGGTTGTAAAGACATAACAGCACCTAAAATATCAGTTTGCCTGCCCAAAAAGGATTCTGGCATCCTCTGATAAATGAACATAAGGAACTCACAGTGGGTGAATCGAGAACCAGAAAGTTAAAAAAAAAATAAAAAGGAACTATCATTCTGCAACTTGCAACTGGTAAAGGAGCTGAAGGCAATTGCAGTTACCGCTTATTTTATGCCATAGTTAAACATAAATTGATCTGTTTGGTGATGTGCAGCCTGGGGAATAGCACTGTGCTCATGCAAAGGGGACGGCAGAGGGGAGTACACAGCTCAAACGGTGAACAACAGTGTGCAAATATGCTTTAAATAAACCCCATAAAATGGATTTGACTCAAACTCCAGCTGATACAGGTTTCTCAGCTTTTCATGACCAAGCTGTGCTTGAGTAGGTAACAGCAGGCAAACATATGGGCTCTGCAGGATTAGATCCCAAGGAGTGGAAAAAAAAAACCAAAAAACAACAACAACAACAACAAAAACCAGAAATATTTGACAATAAACCAGAGAAAGGGGAAAGAATAAGAAAAAAAAAAATCTACCAGCACGAGCTTGTGGATACATATGAGAACAGATTTCTGGCTGGAATTTGATTGTTCTTGCAGCTAATGCTCCATAAGATCATGTTCATGTCTAAAGTTTGGCTGGAGACTGATTTTGTAATAGCAAAAGCATAGGCATAAATTGTTTGGAGTCCTCAGAAATTGATGCATCAAGCCAAAAGGCAGCATGGACAGATTTGTGCCTCTGATTCACTGGTTCCTTACTCCCCAGCTTCTTTTTCATTCCCACCCAGCTTAGTCTTTGTGTTAACACCAGAAAAATCTTTTTTGACAAGCGTTTTTAAAGCTTTCTACCCCAATAAACAGCAAAGCCACTGCAAGGGGACCAGATGTGGGGAAGTAAGGTTGTATCTCACCCAGTGCTGTCACTACCACGAGCGAAAGGAGCCTTATGTCAGTGAGTGGGGTGAGCAGGAGACACTGGCAGCTGGAAGGAGCTAGAGAAAAGGAAGTGGGATAGACAGAAAAAGAAACACGCACTGGCTTGAAAGAGCTTGGGAAGGCGGAGGGAAATTGTACCCAGGTGCCAAAATATGCAATTTAACCCCCTGCACAAAAATTTACTTTTTTTACAAGAACACAGTAAAAATATATGCATGTTTACATACACATAAATACATAGAATTCCAAATAAATTAGCTATTTCCAAACTTTTTCCTAACTTTAAATTTCAGTAAATTACCATGCTCTACCCACAGACCAAAATTATTTTTTGAAGATTATAAAGTGCCACACTTACCTTTCTTAGCTAAGAGGACATTACCTCCTTTGCAAGTTAATTGATTATTCTGCTCTTCACTGTGTCCAAACAAGGCCCCCTTTCATAGAGGCAGAGAGTAAAGAGCAGACACTTCTGGGAGAAGATTTATTTAGAAATGACAGTGCTAGAACAAGTGGTTTTACTTCATCATGTCCGCATGCATGCCAAGGCTGCCCTAAATGACACTAAAGCTTTTTTGAAAGTGGGACTGCTCAGAAATTAAGAGATAAATTATCTTCTTTTTTCCATAGTGCTTCCTGCTTCCTTTTAGATGCATGCAAAAAAAAAAAATACATGCAGAAAGACTGTACATTAGACAAGACAGGCAAAATAGGGCTGCCACTTGCTTTGTTTTGTGGATAGAGAGAGCATGGCTCCAAAATATAATCTTATAACACAAGCCTACAAGTAGCCTATAAATATAGATAGGCTTCCCAAAATAAGATTTGTGCCTCAATTTTCTAGAGCAAGTTATGGTAATACCACCTGCATGTTTCAAAATATGAATAAAAAAGTCAAAGGTACACAAGAAATAAGAGGACACAAAACCACAAAGTTTTTTTTTCTTAGAAATATATTTTGTAAGAAAACAATATTAACATTAAAAAGAAATGTTTATTATACAGTATAAAATAATTGCTTGAATTCAACTCTGGTTCTTATTTAAAAAAAAGCCTCTGAGGATTTCTAGGAAGCCTTATTTCTTACAGACTTGAGTCTTTTGCCTCCTGCAATTCCTACTGCATTAAATAGCTTTTCCCCACATCCTCTCAGCACCCAGACTGAAACACCTTTAAAAGCTCCCCCCTTAGCCCCTCTTCTCAAGAGCTGCTCTTCTCTGCCCAAATACACCCTAGACACCCATGGCAGCTCTTCCTATACCAACCCTCAGCTTCCTCCTAACTCTATTTTTTGGCCAAGCAACTATACAAGAAACACCCGTAGCAACTAACTAGGAATTTTCCCCCCACTAACTAGCTGGTTAATAATGAACAGTGGCCAGCCACTGACTAACAACGTATAATGGCTGAGTTATTCTCAGCTGTCAGTTCTCACAAAACCTATAAGAATTTCTTAACACTGCCATTCATCTGCCCCACCTGGCAGAAATGTGCAAAGAGTTGGAAGGGGAGACGGGGACAGGCACTGCAATGGCACAAAGCTTTCTTTTTCAGGAAACTAGGCTAAGAAAGTCATTACTCAGCTACGGAATTTACAACTTGGAGAACTCATAGGAAAATAAATGCCTGTTCAGTAACTAAAAATACCTTTAAGACATAATGTGGCCTATTACATACTTTAAGTAAGGCCAGCTTTGCAATGACAATTACCCTTTAGGTTTGAAAGGCACCCAGTGACCAGCAGTCTGGTGTAACTATTCATGACATTGGTGTGACTTTTTTTTTTCCCCCTTGATAATACTGACAAGTTTAACAGAAATCTATTAAGTTAAAAAGAACAAAGAAATATATTACATTTGCTAATTGCAAACAACCTCTTTTAGCTGCAATTTTTCCCATTGGGATTAAAAAGTGCACCAGTTTAACATGTCTGTACATTAAAAACAGTTTAAAACATTAAATATACAAACTGCAAGAGATTTTAAATATTTTTGTATCAAATACTATAGGACAATATAATTTACACTTTTTACACAAAACATTACACCCGAAATATAACTTTAGATATTACAGAATATAAAAATACATACTTTTGTCTAAAAAAAAATGCTTTTGCAGGTTCTGGCACAATGTAACACTTTAAAGGGACATGATACTTTGGCAATCTATATTTGCAATTAGCTGTGCAAGAATAAAAAAAAGACCTGTAAATAACCTTTTAGAACTGTGAGGTCAGATCTTTCCCCTCTCCCTGGAATAGCCCTTTTAATTGGGTAAAATAGAAATTTGCAGTGTTTTGGTGCTCTGTTTGTGCCAGGAACAGAATTTTTCAGCCTTGGTCCAGCAAAACAAGATCAACTTTAAGGATATTAAAAGCCACATCAAATCCAATGTAGTTAATGGACAATACCTTTAGCATCTCTGCTGTCTCAGGATCAGAGTGCTCAGGACTGAGCAAAACAAGCCTCAAATCAAAGCTGAGAGCCAAATTCTGCCCTGATCTATGTCTGCATTGGAGTCAGACGGTTGCAGACAATGTCATGACAGAATTTGGAAACATAAGTTCAATAGGATGAATAATTCTGATTTCAATTACACCAATGTAAAATTCATAACAACTCTACTGAAGCCCGCGGAGTCACATGAAGCAAAATTGGTATAAGACTGAATCCAGAAAACTGTAATTTTGTCCTTCTGTGCATTTGTGGGACTCCTGCTAGAGTTAACTGCAGGGCAAATATGTGTCTACATGGCTTACCCAAATGCAACTGGGATCCAAGAGATTTTCAGTCATGTCTTCAGGTTGATTCTGAGCAATTATTAACATTTCCCATCCCACTTCCCCCCTCTTTTTTTTTTTTTTTTTTTAGGGAGTTCCAGGGTAAAAATATCATCACACATTAAAGATTGAAGGATTCAGTCTAAATCTCTTACTTTAAATGCCCCAAAATAAGTTGCTTCCTGGGAAGAATCCAACAGCAATGGGTTTGATACCTGGATACTTATCATTTCACCAGATTTTAATTTAAAAAAGCCTCCTATGTTTACAGAGTAAAAGTGAAATTCTGAATTCCCCGACCAGTATTTGGTGCTTCCTCCCTTCATCAAGACATCAGAGCGTCTTATTTTAAGGTTTGTCTTCGTCATATACACCATGAGCTGAAGCCCTCTTTTAGTCAGGTTTCCTGACGTTTCATGATGTCTAAAACAAATGTTGGCATAAAGATAGTAAAATCCATCTTGATCAACAGTTAGCCTTCCGTCACGGAATGTCATATTTGATAAGTTTGCCTGGCCCTTGTTATGATGCCAAGATGTAAGGTTCACTTTGCGAGTTCCTGAGGGAGAAAAAATATATATATAAATTACTTCCTATTTACAAGCATTTTTAACAAAACTTAATGTTTTAAAAGCAGTTCCTTGGTTTTCAGCATTAGTAACAACTACAGCTACGTAAAGTTTGAAGCTTCAAATGTTGGACAGGTATGATAAAGATCGATAAGAAGCTTCTTTCTTCAATCATATACTATCCTATTCAGCTTGTTATCTGCAACTGCCTCCCCACCTACAAGGAGATCAGTTAGAACAGGGTACAAAACATTTGTTTGACCGATAACTTGATTATTTTAGGTGATCATATGACAAGGTACAGAAGAATTATTTGTCTATACAATACTAAATATTAGTAGTTTAAAAGCATAAACTCCTAAAAATCTAGCAAATTATGTTACAGAGAAGTAAAATGCAGACACTAAGGAAAACAGAACAAATTTCTATCTAGATTAATTATGTACACAGCAACATCAATGTCTGCTTAATTTACCTGACATACTGCAAATGGTATGAAACTGGTTGCTAATGAATATGAGGTAAACCTTGTTTTATTCTTAACCTTAACTTTGTTTTTACTAGGTTCTTTATCTGTGGTGCCGAAGTAGGCAGGAACACTTAATACCCAAAGGATCTTTGTCATGTAGAGTTGACTGCAATGTAATTCTCCGCATGCCATAAATGTTTGAAAGGAATAATCTGAAAGTTAAATTGTGGTATTTCCCCAAACAAAGTTTGGGCAACCTTCATGTAGTTTATGCAACTACATGCAATAAAAATGAAAATCAATAAAGCTACTGTTGTACTGTAATACAATATAACTTGCACTTTAAGTATTTAACACAATTCAAGTGTTCAACACAAGAAGTTTTTTCTAAGGAAACTAGTGCTTTGATCCAATGCTTTTGAATATTTTTGGAAGAGGCTGCCCAGGGAGGCTGTGGAGTCGCCTTCTCTGGAGATCTTCCAAACCCGCCTGGATGCCGCCCTGTGCCCCGTGCTCTGGGTGTCCCTGCTGGAGCAGGGGGTTGGACTGAATGAGATCTCCAGAGGGCCCTTCCGACGTTAATGATTCTGTGAATATACCCAAATAAGATCCCACAATCTGGTTTAGTTATATCCTACATAATTTTTCCCCTATGGCATAATCCTAGTTCTTTGATCACTACACAAATATTTATAGACAAGCAATGAACTTTTACAGCTATTTAGAAAGCAAACTTGGATTGCACATCCTCCAATATATGTAGGAGAAAGTCCTGGGAAAAGACTTCTATGAAAACAAATGTGATTTCATCTAATTTACTGTCTTTAACATATCCTGAACTTGGAACTAGAAAGAATGAGCTAGTAACCCACATTTGGAAAACAATCTCTTCCAGTGATCATAAGTGGGATACCCACAAATTAGGAAAGAAAATGACCATAATATTCTTTGTCTCTCTGAAGAATATCTTGTATGTGGGAATCAAGATACATGCAGAAGGGTTAACCAATGCTGACTACAATAAATAAATAAATAAATAAATAAATAAATAAATGACAGCAGATGTTAATATAACTGACATACAGACAAGAATAATAAAAAATGATTTTTAACTTGTAATGGGTACATATAAGCCTTTTTCATCTTTGTCCATTTGATGGTGGCCTTGTGTACAAGAAACTGTCCCTTACCTGTAAGGGACAGTGAAGGATGTTCAGCAAAGGGAATGCCTGAAAAACTGGAAATGTTCTTAGCAGCTTGCCAGGTCCACACTGTGACTAACCTGGGAATTAGGGGTACCTTAGGAACACCGGCCTGGAAGGCACTTGCCTGGGCACTATGCAGCCACACTATGACCTTGCTGGGTGTTTCAAGCTTTTCTGGTCAAGGCTCAATCAATACCCTGCTTATATGAGGGCACAGCAGAGGCACAGCAGATACGGGACAGGAATGCATACCTATGACTGAGCAGCAATGCACACCTGCATGTCAGATTGGTGCTAAGTTTGGTTGGTGTTTACTAAGCAAATTTTAATTGTCAGCCTCAAAAATCCAGTAGCAACTTTGAAGAAATCCTCAGTGGGAATACAAGTAAGTAAAGCATAAGGAAATGACCAAAGGTCTGTCTGCTCTGAAAAATAAAGGTGCTTCTGGAAGCAAAGGGTAGCTGAGCCAAACCTGTAACTGTAAATAGCTTACAGAACTCCACAGCATTTCCTTAGACAGCTAAAGATAACACACTCCAAATAACATATTTAACATCTGCATTCACTTATGTTTATGATTTTCTCCTCTAAACTAATTTCTGTAATCAAGTTGTAAACTGAAATTTGCTGTTCTCACTTTAAACCTAGGTAGCATTTAAAGCGAGCTCTGATAAAATGCAAGCAGCAATTAATTCAGCTTTTATCAAAGGCAGCAAACCTAAAAAGACACACAGCACAAACAAAATTGCTAGGGTTTCTACAGTAAGAGGTGAGAACATCAAGAGCTGGGAGGATCCATCCCCCTTCTACACCCTTAAGGCTTTTTGCAAAAGTTTATAGTCATGTTATTGTGAAATGGGCTAAAGTTACAGAAGCTGCTCCATCAGTGCCCTTTCCATGACTGGCAGTCAGTGAAAAAAAAAAAAAAAACAGAAAAATAAAATCCTGTTTGACAGTAATGACAAGACTGATTTTTTCCTGATATTGTTTATTTTGGGTCAGTGATGACAGCAGAGAACTTAAAATGCTAAGAATGTATTTGACCAGACTTACAGCTAGCACAAAGCAAGCTGAAGAATTTCAGACTGATAGGAACAGGGGGGAAAAAAAGAAAAAAAAAAGAAAAAAAAAAAGAGAGAAATTCCCATTTGAGATCAATAGGATGGGGCAGCAAAATGGTGCTGCTGAGGAACATATCTTTCAGGTACCTCAGAAGATTTTTTTCTGCTACCCAGCATTGCCTCATTCCATAAGATTCCACAAGATCTCATTCCATAAGATACTGAAACACATCACACCTGTAAGCTCAGGGTTTCGGTTACCCGTGAGGGTGCAGCCCTGCCTTGCTGTAGCATCTGCAAGGACTGCAGCAGCACCAGTGTCCTGGCGATCCTCTTGGAAATGAGCCACAAGCTTTACGTGCCAGCTCTGGAGGGAATAAGCCCAGCTCACCAGGTCAGAAAGAGGTTGAACTGCTCCAAGAAGAAACAAAGCTGCTTGTTGCTGTATGCACTGTATTTCTGAGCACCCCTGTAGCCTGTGCTGCTAAGTTAGAGGCAGAGAGAGACAGAGCAGGCACATGCACGCTCGAGCAGCTCCTTTCCTCCTCTTCCCCCTAGCTGTGCTAACAACAAGTCACACCCTAAAAAGTTAATGCACAGCAGTAAAAAAACATCAGCTGCTGTCCTTCATAAAAATAAGGTTTCCAGACCAGTGTCTAGGGTCTGGGCAAATAAGTTTTCCACAGGAAGAGATGTATTTCACCATGTGGGACACACATACCAGGGCTGTAGATGTTAAGGGGCCCATTGCTATAATTAGCAAATTAATCCAGTCCTTTCACAGACAAAATGCTAAGACAGGTTTACAGACGCTGGGACCCCTGCTGCAAAGAGAAATCTGTCAAGAGGTATCTGAGTAAGGAACCCTGTAAAAGTTCATGCTGCCATTTGCAAGCTGCTTAAACTCTCTGCTTAAATTGTGAAGTTGGACAATGTCAACATATATGGAAGGAGACACAGACAGGAAAAAAGCTTAACCCTTGTGTGCAAGAGTGTTTTATCTTTAAACAGAGCAAGGTAATATTGAATATGCAGAGGAATTAGTTGAGGTTTCAAGGTCTAAGGCAGCATTCCCCTTCGGTTTTGTTGCAGAAAACAGAAAAGCAATGCATGCAGGTTCATTAAAACAGAGGCAATGCAGAACATGTGTGTCTGCAGAGCATGGGGACAACAGCGACGAGTGCTCCCTCCTAGCTCCCTCCTAGTCAACAACACAGAGAGAAAAATCCTACCTGACATAGGCCTGAGGCAAAGAGAAAACAGCACTGAGGTACCTCAAAATTGTAAGAATTAATTGTTTGACACAGGCCCTCTCGAGTGTGTTCAAGGGCAGATTCATGATTTGTCTCTTCATATTATACTAGCAAGGGTGTTCCCAAAGCCATCCCAAGACACTCCTGTGAGCAGAGACAGAGTTGTAACAAGATAGGATGATGCCACCCCCTTTGTAGTGTCCAATAGTGCCTACTCCGTAGCCCAGAATCATACTGCATCCAAGTCAATGCACTGGTGACAAACTCCAGTGCACAGAGTACAGTGCAGCAACTGCTGCCTTCACTTATTACAAGACTAGATGTAGACACACGCTCATGAAGCTCTGATGTGTCTCAAAGGCCCTGGTAAGCTTCATATGGAAGAGGCATGGCCTATAGCCACACCACAACAAAACCCTTTCTACATCTAAGACAATGGAAAAAAATGCTATGAATTCATCCCTATCAGAGTGCAGTGAGCCTACAGAGGATAGGGAACCAGCAGACAAGTTGTGCCTTTGGGACTGGAGTTATACATCTTCAACACCTCAAAATGACTGATGAGGTTCCTTTATGGGCAAGCTTTTCACTGACACATGCCTGACATCCAGGTGCCCTGTATATTCGTACAAGACATTTTTGGCTTCCAGATTCACACTGATGACAAATTGGGTCAAAGAGCTGACTCAATGACACTTCAGCACACAAAAGGAGAGTTATTGTGAAGGGTTTGCCGAGTGAATGTAATAGGCTGTTCTTGAATTTCACTTGAGAAACAAGCATATTTGTTCAATAGGAGTAAGACACCTTAAAAGACTCAGGGAAAGCTTCCAGTCTGCAGAACTGGAATTTTGGCCAAGGATTCTTTTGGTATATTCTCATATATACATGTCTGATACCATTGTGGGTGGAAAAACTCCAGACAGACCCTGCTGGCCAAAGGAAACAAGAAAAATCAGAGAAGAACACTTAATGCATATTTTTACCTGAAGACAGCAGGAAAACAGGCAGACCAAGCCCTCAGAGAATAAGTCTTATGATCACCAATCATCTAACACAGGCCATTTAGTAGCATAAGATTCCCATGCAAGATAGATGGCACAAAGGGGAGCTATCCTTCATTAACTGTATCATTACTGTTGCCTTTTAAACCCTTTTGTGCATCCATGTGCATTATGAGGGTCCCCTACCCTCTTGCCATAGTCTGTACTATACATATATACATATACATACATATACATATACATACATATACATACATATACATATACATACATATACATAGTCTGTACTAGGAGGTGGAATTAAGGAAAAAGGAAGAAAGGAAACAGGTCCCTGCCCAGCCTGGCAGGAGAGCTCCCTCCTGGCCCACCTTCCCTCCCCAGGTGTCCATACACAACAGGAATGAGGCCCTGGAACTTGAGGGAGAGACAGACCAAGGTCCATCTAGAGAGTTGTCTAGGGCAATGCAGTCAAGCCCACACCTCAAGACTGCCTCCCCTACAAAGAAAAGGGTGGTTGTAGTGGGTGAATCCCTCCTGAGAGGAACAGAGGGCCCAATTTGCTGACCAGACCCTTCCCCACAGGGAGCTCTGTTGTCTCCCTGTAAGAGACAACCTGTACCTGATTCAGGTAAGGGACATTACAAAAAGGCTCTCAACTCTTGTATGGCCCTCTGACTACTATGGAACTGCTTTTCCAAGTTGTTGGCGATGAGTTTGCCAGGAGAGGCCCAAAGTCCATCAAAAGTGAGCTTAGGGCATTGGAGACATCAGTTGAGTGATCAAGTAGTCTTTTCCTCTATCCCCTCAGTGTCAAGGAAGGACACTGAGAGGAACAGGAAATGCCACCTGCTCAACAGGCAGCTAAGAGGCTACTATCAGAAACCAAAACAGAAGTTTTTCAACCACGGGCTAGTCCTTACTGCATCAGACCTCCTGGCAACAGACAGGGTTCACCTGTCTTTTAGGAAGTTGGTGGTGCTCACTGAGAGGGCTTTAAACTAGGTGTGATGGGAGAGGACGATAAAACTGGAATCGCTAGGGATGAGTCTAGGGGCATCATGCCAGGGTTGGGAGAGAGCTCTGCAGCCCAGCTGAAATGCGTCTACACCAATGCACACACCATGGGCAACAGGAGCAGCTAGAGGCCACGGTACATCAGAAAAACTAGGACATGGTCACCATGACTGAAATGTGGTGGGACCACAGTCATGACCGGAATGCTGCAATAGATGGCTACAGGCTCTTCAGAAGGCATAGGCAAGAAGAAAAGGAGGTGGGGTACAAATACGCTAACAAGGAGAGGAGAGCCAAGGAGAATCTTATCCTTTATTGGATGCAGCAGGGAACATTGTCACCAAGAATGAGGATAAGGCTGAGATACTTGATGCCTTATTTGCCTCTGTCTTTAATGTCCAGATCAGTTATCCTCAAAGTACTTGCTCCCCTGAACTGACATGAAAAAGACACTTATGGAGAGCAGAAGAAACCCCCCATAATTCAGGAGGAAACAGTGAGTGACCTGTTAGTTACTCCACTTGGATGTGGAGAATAGAATCCCATAAGTCTATAGGGCCAGATGGGATCCACCAGAGAGTTCTGAGGGAGCTGGTAGAAGTGCTTGCCAAGATGCTCTCCATCATCTATCAGCAGTCCTGGTCGACAGGGACAGTCCCGGATGACCTGAGAATGGCCAATGTGACACCCATCTACAAGAACGGTCAAGATGGAGGATCCAAGGAACCACAGGCCTGTCAGCCTAACCTCGGTACGAGGGAAAGATACGGAACAGATCATCTTGAGAGTCATCACACAGCACATGTGCAGCAACCAGGGGATCAGATTCAGCCAGATTTAGGGGGTTCAGGAAAGGCAGGTCCTGCTTCACTAACCTGATTTCTTTCTATGGCCAGGTGACCCGCCTAGTAGATGACAGGAAGGATATGGACATGGTCCACTTAGACTTCAGTAAGGCCTTTGACAGAGCCTCCCAGTGCATTCTCTGGAGAAGCTCGCAGCTCAAGGTTTAGGCAGATGTACTCTTCCTTGGGTGAAGGACTGCCTGGTCCAGAGAATGATTATGTATGGAGTTAAATCCAGCTGGTGACCGTTCAAGAGCAGTGTTCCCCAGGACTGAGTGTCTGGGCCAGATCTAGGGGTGCTTGTCCACAGATAGCAGAACATGAGCAGCAGCATGCCCAGGTGGCCAAGGCCAATGGCATCGTGGCTTGTATCAGGAGCAGTATAGCCAGCAGGGCCAGGGAAGTGATCATCCCCCTTCTACTCTGTGCTGGCAAGGCTGCACCTCAAACACTGTGTTCACTTTTGGGCCCCTCACTGTAAGGAAGATGTTGAGGTGCTGGAATGTGACCAAAGGACAACAGAGCTGGTGAAACAGCAGCAGCACAGACCTTATGAGGAGCAGCTGAGGGAGCTGGAGCTATTTAGTCTGTAGAAGAAGAGGCTCAGGAGAGACCTTTCTGAGGTGGGAGTCCTTTTTTGAGGTGGGGGTGAAATTGACCTTTTTTGGGGTGGGGGCCAATCTTCTCCAAAATAAGTAACTACCAACAGCACAAGAGGAAATGGCATCAAGTGGTGCCAGGGAAGGTTCAGGTTAAATATTAGGAAGAATTTCTACACAGAAAGAGTAGTCAAGCATTGGAACAGGCTTTCCTGGGAAGTGGAATCACCATCTCTGGCAGTGTTGAAGAAATGTGTAGATGAGGCACTTACGGACATGGTTTAACAGGCATGGTGTTGAAGTGCTTACATTTGGACTTAATCTCAAAAGTCTTTTCTATGGTTGCATAATGATCAAAAGTAATTTCTGAAATCCCAATCTGTTCCTGGCATTGCTTAACTATTTTAATATACTCCACTATAACTGATGAACTATTCTCACACACTCCACTATTAAATATGTTTATAGGAGCATTAGAACTGTTTGCTTAAAACTGAACTTACCAGATGGAATATTCTTATCATCAATAATAAGATGAGCAAAAGGTTGCTTCTCAGGTTTACTTCTTTGGTATAGATCCATTCCTAAGCCTTGCATTGTAGCTAGAGATAAAAGAAATACATTAACTCAGGAAAAAAAAAACATGCTGGGAAAAAAAATGAAATATTTGTTATGTATAAAGCAGTGCCTACCTTTTTCTGGTCTTGGTGGTTCTCTTTTCATGACACTCTGTACTTCCTAAAATGAAAAAGAGAGCAATTACTTTGTTGTTGTCTTTTTTTTTTTTTCAATATTGCATATTGCAAATACGTTGCAAAAACTCTTTATAGTTACTGTATTTGGAATAATTTTGTGAGCATAGTGAAACAATGGCTTCTAAGACACAATTAAACAATAAGGCCCCAATTACTTGCATTGAAAAAGTAGAGAGAGGCAATTCTACACAGTTCTATATTAACATGTAGTCACACTAGTGACTGAGAAGATCCAAGGTCTGCATTTCACTAGCCGTGAGGAAAATGAAACCTCCTCTGCCCCTCACATCCAACCAGTTACAGGACAGGTAGCAAGAGAACTGCAAAGCTTTGTGCAATCTGCCCCAAACTGCAAGGCCTGTACACATCTCACTTCCAGGAATGCACATAAGAACAAATGGATTAAGGCATTTTCTCCATCTGGAATGGGTCAGGCAGATCAGCTGCAGGATTTGGATGTAGGTATTTTGAACAGTAAATGAGTTTTTATACAAGTGAAGACCATGTTACCCCAAACCAAGATCAGTCCTAACAGCTTACACAGGCTGCGAGCTAACAGCAGGCACTGCAAAAATACTAGCTTTCAATAATCCTCCTGTTCCCATCTTGGGGAGGAAAAATAAAACAAACAGAGCAATTTTCAAAAGTCTAAGTAGCCCATACTCATTACAAGTTTGGTCATGGTAATATTAGGTTCAACCTTCAGTTCTTCTTCAGCTTCCCCCTTAATTTTCCCCAATTTAAGTTTCCAATCTGAGAAACAGGGATAATACTCTCCTCCTAGCTATTCAGATTACCTTGTACAATAAAGCTATCAAACATAAGCAGGAAGGAAACATTTTGCTGCAGATACGAAGTCATTTTCTTTTTTGAAGCCTAAGCACTGTCCTGTGTTTTATGTCTTTATGCTGTAAGCATTGTTTATTCTCTTGCTAATTGAACAACACGCATCCTCACTATGCCTCAGACACTTGGCCAGACTAGCAATGCTCCCACATTCCCAATCACTGAACTGCTTTAGAATTTGAAATCCTGCTTTGAAAACATCTCAAGTCCTGCCTTTATTGAATTTTGCAGCTACAGTGAAATCTGCAACACTTTAGCTGGTGCATTTATGCCTTCTCACTTTCTCCTTTCAGTAGATGTCTGAATGTTAAATCAAAATGAAAAACCACAGCAAAATCCAAGTTGTAGTATGACTATCAAAGCATAACACTTTAGCAAAGATAGGCTGATTTTAGAAATAAGAATCATTAAGACACTTTCTGCTGCAGAGTTTAGGAGGAAAAGAAAAAGCAGAATTGCAACTTGAAAAGCAGCAAAGCCCGTGTCCACCGCCCTCCAGTTACATTCATTTCCCCTCTCTGATCTCACTACTTCACTGTCTGTTCTAGGAGCGTGAACACAAAGCTCTGTTCTAAGAGCTGCAAATCTGCATCGGGCCCTAGCCACATTAGGGCACTTTCAGCTTCATCAGAAGCAGGAGGAAGCATAACAGAGTACTGAGTACTGCCAGAAGTGGCAAAAGTAATTGAAGAGATATAATAATGCAGAGAAGACTGAAAGACATGCTGTATTCTGAGGCTCCTGCACCCTACTTATTCCCAATCCTTCCACTAAAAAGAGGAGACTCCTGAGTTCTCTTGCTTTCTCAACAGAAGTCTTTTGGGGAATAGAGTTTGCTTTTGTATCCTCTCATCCTAGTGGATTTGTCAATGCACTTGCAATTCTAAAAAGATCCGTGTACATGTTAATCTTCTATTATCTAAAGGCAGCTTGAGCAGCTAGAGTGGAAAGAAAAGGCAGTGCTCCCTATGAAATCCACGCTGAGCTTCTTCTCAGCTTCTGGTGGTGATGCTGTTCATTTACACCACCACCCTGCAGGCAGAACAGCTGACCAGCAAGACAACCTCAACCCTCTTTGTTCCGAGGCAATTGCACCCAATCCTTCCTCTTCCTAGGAGTATCTCTGTCCCACCAAACTGGAGACCATGTTTGACAAGAACTCTCCCCTCTCCTTCTCTAAAAGCTAGACTACAAGGCAATAAAAAAATGCAGGTGCCATTACAGCAAAAGGAGAGTAAAAGAGTAAGTCCAAAACACTGAGAAGAGTTGGAGTGTGGCTCATGCTCAGAGGATCTTCTGTGCCAACGAGTGAGACATGGCTAACCTGAGGCTTCACAGCAGAACCCTCTAACAAGCCAAGTTCCCCAAGAAGAACCCCAAGTTCTCCAAGACTAGAGTCATGTTCTTCACTTGATTCTCTCCAGCTCAGTTATTTTTGTCATTCCTCTCTGTTCAGTGGCCCAAACTTCAAACAGGAAATTGAAAGAAATACATGAACTAGTCCCTAGAGAATAGAGATGGAGCTGTGGGTTTGCTCATAAAGAATGATAACTGTATTTCAATGTGTCTCTTCATTTTTACTTCATCTGTTTCTGCAGTTCCAACACACCAGTACACAGCCCATTCCAGAGGAGCACCTAAGTATATACTCTGAAAGCCTAAGGAAGCCCTTTTTTAGTGCTATCTGGATGTCTAACGATGGCCTCTTAAGGGGATTATAAAAATCCCCTTGTATCCTCACAGCAAGAAAATCAGACATTGGATTTTTCAAGCCTTCAAGATATCAACTGTCTTTTTAGATACCTGGGTGCTGAAGCATCCCATCACAATGTGCAGTACCATTACAAAAGCAGGAACAGCTCAACAGAACCTGACATGAAGATATTGCATGAGAACTGCTGACAAATTATCAGGGACATCTCTTAAGACTTCCTTCCACAGAAGCATGCGCACTTTTAAGCTGTTATTTTTAGAGGAACTGTTACACATACACACAAAATCACAATTGTTAGCCTTAGTCAGGTGCACTTGTTCACCTATAGCTGCGTCATTTGCTTGCTGCCACCAAGGCACCTTGCTGGCTTGCTTCCCACATTCCAACCTCTCTCATACAGCAACTTGTTTGAACTGCAAACAAGCAACCACCAAAAAAACAAAAAGTATGTTTTCCTTCTTCAGAAATATCAAAGGGCCTAGGGAAGCTGCTAATCTTCCCATTTTTTAAAACTGAAAAGATGCTTCAACGCTTGGAAAAATGAGGAATTGCTCTTTCTCCTGCCACAGAGTCTCAGATCCAATTAATACCAAGAAGAGAAGTATATTATCTTGCCGGAAATTCACCAACCCGAAGAATGACAATCAGGAAATGAAAGTACATGAACCAATATTCTGAAGAAAGCTGAGATCAGTACTACCACCTCTATTCAAATGAATCGTTCATTACCCACAAAAAAAGGCATATAAGGCTATATGATCAAAGACATGAAATTTTAAAACCTTTAAAAACACCAGTGACTTGTTGACTTTATTCATACCCATGTGCACTTAGAAAATCTGCTAAATACATAGCTCTCTTTACAAAGCTGTCCTGGAGGTCTAGCAAAAAGCACTTGGTTGACATGTGGGAGAGCAGCTTAAGCCTGAACTCACCAGGCTGCCAGAGGCTGGGACTACTGCCAGAAGTTACTTCATGAATCGATTCTGGGTATGTTTGTCGTTCTTTCTACTTCAGACTCATAATTGACTTCATAAGAAGTGTGGTTAGTGCATCTGGGCTGCCAAAGGGTTTTTAAGGATATGTGCAAAAAAAATTTTAGTTTTTTAGACTAGCAAAGTATATAATTTGTCTGCTTAAAAACTTTTAGGCAATGAAGTGTTTTCTACTAAGCAAGGTGCTGCCCAGCAGTATTTTTATCTGGGAATGTGTTGAGAAATTCAGCCCTTTCTTCATAACAAAATTTTCAGTTGGTACATTTATAAGATACAATGTTCTGAGACCTCACCTTGCAACCCTGCTTCACTGGTTTCCATAAAGGGTAGCCTTTGAAAGTGCTCTTAACTTGGGCACAAATCTACAGGTGTGCCAGGAAAACAGACGAGAATCAGCAGAGTAAGCTAAAATCCGCAACCAGACCATAAGCTAAAGCAAAAGAAAGTTGTCTATTTTCATTTCCTGAGCAGCTTGAATTGCAAAAGCCAAACGATTGAAAAAAAATTACAAAACCCAAACCGTATTTTAAAGTGTTCCATTTCAGTCACCTCATGTTCTGCCAACCCAAATAAGGACACCTGATTTTAACACACACACACAGGTTAGATTCTCCTACAGGAACAAAACAAGGAGAGGAAACCTCTCTCCACTCCCATCAATTGCATGTCCTCACATAAAAGCCGAGCACAACTGCACACAAGATTCAGCTGTCCCTCTCCCCTTAGGTATAGCACAGCCAATGCAAGGCACAGATGACAAAACATGACAGAGCCCAGTTTTGCCTCAACACCAGCACTTTCACTTCTGTGATAAACTTCTGGTACACTTGCATCTGAAACGATGCAAATAATACATTCTCAGGCATGTATCCTTCTACTGTTCTTCAAATCTGGCTCATCAATATATGAGGCCAAAGCAACAAGGACACAGCCCTGGCTGCTTAATACACTTTGTTGTATTCAGAGGGAATTTGGGGCCTGATTACTTTGGCAAGAGAAATTTTATTCTTCTCAGACTAATGGCCATCAACCAAAAACATCATCCCTACTCACTACTTATCTTAGCCACGGACATTGCAGCGCTCAATCTCTGTCCAGAATGGCAGGATACGCAGCCTTCACTAAAGCCAAGGCTTTTGTTGAGTAACCAGAAGTGAATAACGGGAATATAGGGCTTCCCATCCCCTTACTGTAACAAGCTCCTCACACTGTCAAGGGAGTTGCATGTCTAGGACATGCACACAGAATAGAGAAATAGATGCAGTGAGAGAGTCTAGAAAATGCAGGAATAAAAACCCCCACAGAACTAAATTATTTTCCTGAATTTTTAAAGGAAGTGAAAAGTGAAGAGGGCAAGACAAACTCTCAGGTTTCTTTACATTTTGTTCACAGAAATATCCATCCCTGAGGATTTTGCATTAAAAGCAAATGATAACACAATCAAAGCACCATATAATTAAAGTACAATTCACTCTGTGCAAAGTGAACATGAGTTCAACTTGATAATAACACAGTTTCTTTTACAAAAAGATATGATAGTTTTACACAGGTACAAAGTATTACAGTAGTGGACCTGGCAGATCAGGAAAAACAAGTACTACAGCACATATTCAGCATTTAAATAGCCTTGACTTCATAATTAGCATTAAGCATTATTATGAATGTCCAAATAGATCAAAAATAATAAGTGCAATCAGTGGTATTGTGAGAAGTGTATGCAACTTGTCCAGGTTTCTTCACTAGGGCTGCTCTCTAGTTACTTTATTTGTGTTTTGGGAACAAGCAGTAATCCTCAACTCCTGGAAAAAGACTGGTGCAGAATGTTATCATGTTATGGTAAAGCAGTTCTGTCCATGTGGAAATTGTCTGCAAGGAATAGAATTGGCAAAGTATTCCAAAAAGAAAAAACTATCCTATAGCATTCTGATCTGTCATCATATAGCATAAAAAGAGTGAGAAGCAAGAGCTTTCAAGCAAGAAGCAAGAGCAAGCTATTCATTCTGTTTTTCAGGCAACATTTTACATGCTAATGATCCTGACTAAGAAAAGAGCTGTCAGAAAATGGTCAGGAGACCAGTCTGAAAAGTGTGTGGAACTGTCCTTTGCAAATATCCAAACTGCTGGAAAACTTATATATAGGTGCTAGCACAAAAGACCAACATGGGAATATCACTCCAGTGTTAGAATGGATAATTGTTAAAATGAATAATTTTGTTAAAAAATAATAAAAATAGTTTGAATTGGTTAAGCACTATCACATGAGCAAGCACAGTATGATCTCGGACGCAACTCCAGGTATTATTCAGACTGTGGAAAACACTTTCTAGAACTTACCTTTAAATACAAGTGTTGGAAAATTTTAAAAAGTTTGACAGGTGCATGAAATAAAGGAAAAACAGTGTCTATCTAGCACTTACATTCCGTACAGCATTTTGGAGAGCCTGTTTCATACTTCCACAAGAGTCAGGCATTAACTTTGCTTCTTGATTTTCAAATGGTGACTCTTGCATACCTCCTTGGGCTCTTAGAAAAGTTCTGACACAGTGTGCATCTTCTTTTGAAATTCTATTAGGGTCCATCTGAAAAAAAAATATAAATATCATAGTTTTAAGTGATTTCTCAACAGATATAAAAGAGCATTTAAGTCAGGGAGAATTAAACCATCTACAAGAACTTAACATCTCCTTAAGCTCATTATCTAGATTTTCACTGTTAAAAAAAAATGAACTTCTATACAGGGAAGTTTATTTCAAGAATGAATTATCTGCTGGAGCTCTCTACTTCACTAACCTAGACTGGACACCTGACTTTTAAGTTATAGAAGATAAACTCCACCTTTAGAGCAAAATTGGTAAAGTTGAGTTTCATTTTTAACCAATTGTGTGCAGTCTCATGAATATTTTAGCAAGCAGCACACACAGCCATAAGAACTTCAGGTTGCAAGTTAACACACAAATGCAAGTGGGGCAAGTTGAGAGATACATCTAGCACATCCATTTTAAATAGGGAAAAACAGAAAAACACAGGTCAGTTAACACCAAAAATATTCAATGGGCAAAACATACTTCTGAGTGAAATAGTCATCACGATAGCACAAATTCAGAAAGCCCAAATTATGATAGAGGTGTAACTACAAGATACTTCTAGTGATCAACCTTTGAATTAATCAAATACTCTGCTTCTAAAAGACATGCTTGTCCTATCAGCTGGATGAATTAGAATGCTGGATATTCTAAACGCTTCTGAATTTCTTCCCCTACTCCAGATCCTCACACTCAACAATTACTGACCATTTTTCCTTTCATAAACAGCTTCTTAGCAATTGTTTAACCTGATTTGATTCTGCTTTTACTTCAGGTATTAAGGGTTGTGTTCTCAAAACGCTACGTTTGCCAACAATACCAGCTGCTCTAATGAGACACTTGTTTCTATCTCTCTGCACAATGCAAGGCTGAAGAGCCACCTTACATTCAAGAGTTACAGAAGGCAGTAGATCACTCACAGTCAAAGAGGAAGTATCAAGCCATTACAGAAACGGCTTGACCACTATTTGCTTACCTTTAACATACGACTAAGCAAAACAGAGTATCAAAAGAAAGTTTTGCAGGATCCTAAACACCTAGAGCATATCACATATTGTATCATTGACCCTACGTGTACATAAATGCTATTCCCTAATCCCAAAAGAAAACCAAGTTAAAAGCAAGCAGTTAGGATTACAGAAGGGATCAGAATTTAAATCCATATCATGCAGGCAGCCATCCAACAGACACCACAGATATCTGATACACAGATAGCCACAGCAACAGCAAATGTTGCCTCCTCCAGCACCATCCTTCTGCTGAAGGGTGTCCATCTGATCCATGCAAACCAATGTCAACCCACATCAGCTGGTTTAGTTGGTCTCAGTTATCCCTGCAGATTTGGAAGGAAGCAGGTTGGAAAACGTTCATCTGGAGCTGAAGGGGAGACAGAGCTTTAAGCAGAGGACTAGCAATGACTAAGAGGACAGTCTAGAAGCAATAACAGCTTCCTGGAGTGACCAGACACAGCTGGATCCAAAGGAAAATCTCTGTGCAGCTCTCTCAATTAAGCACTAAAAACTACACAAATAACCTCTAAAAACCTATTCTAGTGAGCTAGTGCAGCTTTGTAGCAGCTTAAGCTGATCTAAAACTGCATCTCTAGGCTCCCACTCTTTCCACCATGAAAACTCATTTGTCCTTTAAGAAGAGAAGGCTTTTTGTTTGGTTGGTTTCTTGAAGGATTAGCAACCTCAAGAAAATCCTTGCAGAAATCAAAAGCACTAGAGATATTACAGGGATAAGCATGGGAATGAAGGAGCAGAAAGGGAGCATTAGTTTTAACTAATGTAGAACTACAATCTAATACAGTGTCCATCAGGAGGTTCTGTTGGTGTCTAGAAATCCCCCAAAATCAGCAGTTAGCAGAAGGGGAAAGAAAAACAATCAAGCACAATATGGTTACCAATAGCTGTTAAGATGCAGAAAAAGAAAATACTGAGTAACCTGGGTTGGAAGTTACCTCTGAAGGTCATGAACCCTTGCATGAAGTACAGCCAACTTTAAGTTGTCAGCTTGCACAGGACCTTTCCCAATCAAGTTTTGTGGTATTTCCACTGACAGTGACTTTCAGCCTCTCTGGCCAAGCTGTTCCAGCATTTAGCCATTTTCATGGTAAAAAGCATTCAAGGCAATGGAATTTGTAAAAGTCAGGTTGGACATCCAAAATCATGTAGTGCAGACTTCAGGTGTCACCCACCAGCAACCAAACGGGTCAAACACTGTGCCAGAACAGCAGCAGCAGCTTGTACAGGAGCACTTACTTGGATGACAGCTTGTCTACTGGAGGTTCAAGTCAGAAACCCTCTCAATATCCCTGTACCTACAGGTAAAACATTGAAGGTTTTAATGGAAACACCAACTGATGGCTTCAGCGGCTTACTCCGATACTGTGCAACCCGTTCTGATACAGTTGCAAGTCTCCAGCAACTTAACATGTTTGACAAAATGATTCTCCAGTCCTGAGACTAGCTAACCTACCTGGCCACCTGTATTTTTTTTGAAGAATATCTGTCATCACTATATTTCAGCCATGAAAATTAGCTCACCTGTCCAAACGGGCATTTTCAGGAAACTCATATCTTGTCTTTTATAAAAGACGCTCACTAAATTGCCATGTCTGTGAAGAGATATTACCAAGCACTGAAACAAAAACCATGGGCTAAAAGGAACAGCAGAAATGCTTGCACAGATACTTTTTGAAAAGAACTACTGAAGACCGAAGGTAAAATACTGGAATGGTCTACCAAGAACAGCTTGCAAGGCACCAAAGGTGAGTCTTTGGGTGAAAAAAAAAAAAAAAAAAAGACACTTTTTTTTTTTCAGTGTCTCTGATCATTTTAGTTGTTTCTGGACTCCTTTTATCTAACTCAAGACAAGCAAAATGACCCCAGCATTGCAAGTAAGAGTGAACAAGCTTGCACAATTCAAATCCCCATCCATCTACTACATTCGTCACTAGTTTACAGCTTCCACTACTGCACACAATTATGACTGAGCCTTCTGTTGTCACCTGGACTGTTTTACATTACTATCAGGTAAAACTCAGACAGTTTCTCTCAAATACACATTGCTGCATTTTAGACAAAACTACATTGCGCCTGTCATCACGTTCTCCTACTTGGATWAGCAAAGTCATTTGTCACCAGCTGCCAAGCTTGTCACCTCGCCACTTACTTCCTTCTCAAATCAATTGACTTGCACTTAGGGGCAGTCAAAAAGTTAAGTGTGCCATTACCAATCTCACAGGTTTCTAACCAAATGAATGCAAATTATCTCAGAGGCAAAGAAATACACAGGGGAAAGCAAACAAAAGAAAAAAAAAGAAAAGAGAAAATAAAACTCTGAATATTCTCTCTGAAAATTTGAGGTTTTCAGTGGGAATTTCAATAATCTTAATTGGCAATTTTAATGGTAAAAACATTAACTTCAGTTTTAAAACACGTAAGTTTTCAACGAACTTTATATTGTCTGAATTATGCAGTGCTAGAATATCATCATTTCCTCATTTTTCCCCACAATAAATACTGGCCCTATATCCCTACTTATTTTTGAACTTCAAACTACATTCAATTTAACTTATAATACCACTTTTGGGCTCCATGATCTATCTTAAGCACCAAGGATGGGCTCTACCAAGGTTCCAAAAAGTGCGAGTGAGCATTAGGAAGCTGTTTTCTTTTAGCCACTATTTTGCTATCAGGGTCCCCACATTTTTGTGGAAGTCTGAAAGAAGACTGTCCAAAACCATACTGTAATGAGAGTCAGGTTCCCATAGACATATGAAATAATAATAAATATTTGCCTTTAGGTCACCATTTAGCAAAGTATATACTCTTCAGGAAGGTAGAATGTTGAGTACAACCTTTCTACAGACTTTTTAATGGGTAAAATGAGTAAAACATGGAGTTCCAGATCAAAATACAGGAATTTAGATCTCACATTTGGACTTTCAGCTTGTTCCACTGACTTCCAGTTCAGTCAGCATTAGATTAAATTCATATTCTCATGGTCTAAGTCAGGAAAGTCAACCAGAAAAAAAAAATCTTAAAAGTCAGATTTTGGAAGACTACTTCAGCATTTACAAATGGAAGTTAAATAAGTATTAGCTCTGTCATCTCTTCCTATGAGTCTGTATTACCTGATGCTCTCCAGCTGCTCCATTACAAGTGTCTAACTACAAAAACTGAAGTTTCCACTACTTGTTCATTGACTATGATCAAATTTTCTCATGAAGAATGAAAAATAAGTATTTAAGATGTATACATTTTGATGGTGCTTAATGTTCTTGGATATAGCACATTGCACAAGGTGGTCCAGAAAGAAAAAAAAAAAAAAGAATATCCTACCCTAAAATTCAAGATATTACCACCGAAGCATTGGTAAAATTCAGACAATATATATATTTTTTTCTTCTTGAATATACCAGCTCCTTGTCTCATTTGACTTGTGCTGCATTATTTCTTGGCCACAAACATGTGTTTACCCATGAAACTATGGTGTCAGTCTTAGTTATAAGTCTTGTGAAATTCCAAATGCTCAGGCCACAAAATAAACAAAACTAAGGAAAAACCAAAACCTCAATTATTGTCTCCGTTTATGTTTTGTCATGATCTAGCCCAAATGATTTTATGCAAATGAAAATAAAAAATATGGTAAAATTGAGTCAGAGCTTACCCAGCCTCTTAGCAAGAATTTTAAAGAGTTTGTAAAACAGTTATCTTCTTAAATTTCTTAATATTAGTCCATGTTATCGTGACAATTTACAGTGGGTCAATCCGACAACCAAACAGCTCCCATCTTTCGGATGCATAACTCAGCACATTCCAAAGAAAGATCAGATATCATGTGTATAAAAAAAATAAATAAAACCTATTTGCAAGGCAATTTTATAATATTTTTGCAGGACCTACTGTGATTTTTTTTCCAGTCTGCTTTATGCCCAAATAAACTGTATAACAGGTATGGGTCACCACTTATTACTTACTTTCAGAGTACACATATCATCCTAGTTTTCAGTGGCAAGAAAGCCATATTCTCCGCTATATTCACACACCTATTCTGCACCTACCTACATCTTCTCTTTTAGATATTTTGGAAGTTCAAGTTTACAGAAGACTCGGTGCAACATCATTACTCCAGATCTATAGGATACAAATTGAATCTGCCAAGTCTGCCAATTACACTCCAGTTATGTCATTTTTTTAAGCAAGGAAACAAAAGTAAAGCAGTAGTTCTGGTAAGAAACCTCCTCTTGCCCTTTTATTTCTGTGAAGCAGTGGCAGGAAGCTATCAAAGAGAATCCTTAGCAAGGCGGAGGGGGGAGATAGAGGTTTTTCAAGAAGCCAAGACATATTCGGCTAAGTTTTCAGCACGATGGCTCTTCATCATGGTACGCTGCACCTTTCTAAGGACTATATTCCGACAAGGACATCCTTTAAGGTTCGTGGAGTGGAGGTGCCCATCTCCACAGAACAGTTTACAGAAACAAAACGCTGTCTTTTCCAAAACGTACAGGGTGGCATTAACTAAGGGCTCCGTTACTTTTCCCAGGAAACGCTTCCCGCCTGGGCCACGCGCGATTCCCAGCAAGGCGGGCGGCCGGGGCAGAGCAGCGCGGCGCTCCCGGCGCCTCCTCCGCCACGATTCCAAGAAGCGAGATCCTCCCCTCTCGGAAAGCGCAACCACCGCCGGCCTAGCGCTAGCTTGCAAACCCGCACCTCCGTGCTATTATTATTATTATTATTATTATGAGTTTTTCCTCTCCTCCGTGAGGACCCGCGCCCCGCCGCAGCCCCAGCCAAGGGGCACGGCGGCAAGGGGGAGCCGCGCGGAGCTCACCTGCGCTCGGAAGTAGAGGAAGAGCGCCACGCTGCAGACCACCTGCCCGAGCCCCAGCAGGACGAGGGCGGCCAGGAGCGAGCGGGAGGCGGCGGGCGGGTGGCCCGCGGGCGG